GGGCTAGAAGTGATCAGTCCCCATATTCAAAGACAGTCGGCTGTTTTTATAAACAGGCACCATCCACGTATTTGCCTATTTTTGGATTAGCCCTGGTCCACACTGTCTGCTTCTGCAGCACGTGTGTGTTGCAGAAAGTCTTGCACTTTATTCCGGTGCCCATGTGAACAGATTAGAGCAATCACACTGCCCGCCTGAGTCACACCTACTTCACTAGAGAGTCGAGGTCTCACCTATTCCTTCTGTGTGCCGCAGTCGAAAGGGTCTGTTCATAGTCATATTGACATTATACCATCAACATGTACACCTTTTACTACAGTTTCAATGCAAATATCTGCAAAACTCAACACCTCCTGTATCTGTTTGAGATTAAAAGCTCTCTGGTGTTTCTGTTCACAAAATCAATTCACATGTTAACAATGTGTTGTATTTATCAAGGGCAAACTCAGTACAGAAAGACAGGGCTGGCAGCAGCAGAAATGCTCTCTGTGTGGTCACCAAAGGCGTGCCAGCAGTTCAATGAGGCAGTGTGCTTAAGCAGTGTGGACGAACCGTTAGCCGGGACTTCCAAGATGGCAACTGATGAAACTGATTATGTCTGTGCTATATTTAATAGGTGGGATTATCCGTCTATTTTTAAACTGGTATGAAGATGATAACAGCCTTGCAGGTCTGTTGTCACATTCTAGTCTTGCTGCATTTTACAAGAAACCTTTTCTTTGCCATATCATGCAGCGCTACTAATAAACCGGTTTATCAAAAATGTCAACCCATTCCTCTGAGATAAAATCTACTCTTTAGATCTTCAAGCAATTAAGGATTCCAGTTAAGAGCAGGATTAGAATGAAAGAATAAAGATAACAATCAAACAGAGATCCTCATAGCCACATAAGGAACGTGCTTGAGCGTGTCTATTCTGGCTTGCAAGCATAGTGTGAATCATAACACTTAACATGCTGTTTGTATCTGAGTCATCACATGTGTGAGTCATGTGTGTCCACTCACCGAAAACACACCAAACAAAAGGTGAGGGCCCAGGCCAAGACGAGAGTCACCCTGAGGTCGATATCACCAGTCGGTCCCTCCTCATCCTCCGATTCATCTTCAAAACCATAAAGCCAAATGTCCTCGAGGCTCACTCGGTGCTTCAGACGGTAGCTGGAATTCGACCTGTTGAAACAGAAGCAGAAAGTAAGTTGATAACCATATAAATAGTTTTCCATCTCAAATGGTACTTTTTTCAAGTTTGAAAAGCAGGTTTCAGTTCCATTTTTTTTTTATTGATTCCCTGTATGCTGTCTTCCCTATTTCTGAAAAAGCTGGAGCTGAAGATAGAAATAGGAGGTGTAAATTAATGTAAGAGCTCGTTTTAAAACCATGTACAAACTTGAAAGGAAAATTGATTTCTGTACATGAGAACACAGCAAGAAACAATAGTCTGTGCTGCAACTGTGGAGAGAAAAGGATAAAGAGACAAAAATTGCTCTTTGATACTTTCGGTGGGCATTTCTTCAGGGCAGGGGCAACACCATTCTCAATAAAAAAGGTGTTCGTTTTAACAGCTCTTGAATGTGTGAAAAGACTTAACAGTTGGACTTGTTTTTTACACCACAGGAATAATAAACTGAAGCCTGCTCTCAAGGTGACTAAACCCCTTCATAGACAACACCATGCTCTCCTGAACAGGTCGGCATTGAGAGAATTAATAGCCTTTGTAAATGGTTTCAAAAATAGTTTCCAAAAATGGTTACTAGTAAAGGATGAGAGCGGAATCATTTTTTTCCCACTGCACCTCCATACAGCCACAACACTTCAGTTGTTTAACCGGCATTTGATTATGACCCAACTGACCGCTGCGTGTTTGCAGCAGAGGCCTGCTGACTGGATCCTGGAGTGCTGATAGATTGGTGGAGCGTGGAGGGAGAGGAAGAGTCAGAAAGAGTGAGCTTTGGGGATTCAAGAGGTGGTATGGTATAGACATAGAGAGAGGGAAGTGACACGCAACTGACCAGAGGTCATATATAGAAAGGCTGTGAGAAATAATCATACGGATTAACACGCTGGGGTTGTCGTGGGGAAAAAGCAATTGAGGGCTTCCATTGACCCAAAGTTACGTTATGTACACAGTCACCTCCAAGAACCTCCATTTACACAGCAGAGTAAGGATGGCTTTGTTATATCTTACCAGCTTTAACCCATTGCTAGAATACTTCCAGGCCTCAAGTTTTTTACATAAGTCAACGTCTATGTGGTAATTAAACACAGAGTTATTTAGGAATACTGTCAATTTACCATCAACACCAGCATAATGTCTAAGATAATGTTTAAGTAAAAGTCTAACAACTATATTTTATACAAGGCCATTCTACAAGACAAGGACACAAGATTAGGTAATAATCACCACCTTGAATGAATACTTCATACAACATTTTGGAAACTTGGAAAAAGGATCGCTGGCTTCCAGAAAAGCTGACACTAAACCGCCTTGCTGGCTGCTAAAGAAATGCTGAGGTTGGCTTTCAGAAGAGGTTGGAAATGTGGGAGACTAATCTGCATTGTTGGCATAAAATGTTATGGAGCAGATGAAGTCGCGAGAAAGTGATAAATGATGAGAAACCAGTCCCTTCCAGGAAGTTGTGATTGCAACAATTAACGCAAATTCAACGAATTCCTGTGAATTCTGAGAGTCTTTGCGCTAAGCTGACTGGCTGCTGGCTGTAGCTATTTCCTAAAAGGTTGAACTTTTCTTTAAAGCCAATTATCATATTTGGCATCTGTGGTGTTTGTTCTCAAGCTGATTTGGACATAAAAGGTTTTTTTTTAAGGCCCCTGGCGGTCTGGTTTATAATCTAGACTTGGAAAAAGTACATAATATAACATCAAGGCTATTTTTTATAGACTTCAGAAAGCTCTGTCGAGAGCCACAGAAGCAATAAAGCTGATTTCAAGTAGCTACTACCTCTGACTGATGATGAACTAAGCTTGATGAGTAAAATCGGCTCAATAGTACCCCAAACAATCATCTTTAGAAGTCATGAATGCTCATACAATGAGGCTCCAAAGTCTATTTATGTTATTGTACCGTAGTCCCAGCTGTGCATACCTACTGGAACAGTGAGCAGGTTGTGGTTCAGAGATGAGTATGATTGTCCTCCCACTCAAGAGCTACAAAACTTCCACCGGCTTTGACAAACAGCTCAAATGTGACTAAGTTGAGCCTCCAGTAAATACAGCAATTTACAAGTTGTTTATATCAGTTTGTTCATAAATGTGGAAAAGCAAGAGTGTCCCACAGGAACAAATAAAAGGGAGATTTTCACTAATAATAACAAAATGACAAAGAAATAACTGGATGAATTTGATTTTAGATGTAAGATACAGTCACTTGTGAGACTAATGAACGAGCATTCAGAAGTGAAAGTATGTCACTGACATGTAGTTAAAGAAAACAACAAAACTTCAGCTGAAGATGTGTTGAAATTACTTTTAGAGAAATTTGTTCATTGTTGAGTTTCTCCTCATGTGACTCCTCTGAAAGGGAACCACCAAGCTTTTTTTCTTCCAGTCAGAGTGACTAGAGACAAACAGTTGTGAGTTTGGAGATTCCCCAACAGTCCGAGTATGCGGTCCAAAAACACGTTTTGCTCTTACTTCCTCTTTCGCTCATTCCAACTTGACACATTTGTTTTCAGCAGAAAGTTACTGAAATACCATTCCTGCTGTATTTCCTGTGTTTGTTTGTTTTTTATTGTATGACAGTTGATTCAGTAATTCCCCAATGGTCTTTTTTTGTTTTTTGCTCATTAGATTATCTTAACACTTAATGAAAATAACTCTGGGGCCATGCTGTGTATTAATATCTACACTTCTTACTTGAGTTTAGCGAAGACAATGACATCGCTGAAGAGGAACAGGTGCCTCTCCTTGGTATTTGAGCCCTCTGTGACCTGAACACACTCGTCCAGCAGCAGCTCTCCGTTCTCACTGGTGAGGCCGAGGACGAACGGACTCTGCTCCACGGAGACCCAGCAGGAAGCCTCCTCCCTGAGCGGGAGGACACACAGAAAGAGGTGAGTGTCTAATTTTGGTATTTATGCTTTTTAACATGTTTACAACATTTCACAACCTCTTAGGGCACAAAACATTGTCAGAAACCACTGGATTATCTTATTTATGCATTGTGACCAACCTATAGTTACAAAAAAAAGACATTTTGGAGGTACAGTATATGGCTTTTAATGGAAAGCAGTGATTCACAACATCATAAAAGACTTGATTAACAAGTAGGATAAAGACCACAAAATGTTGGGGAAGATTTGTTATTTTCTTTCTTGGTGAGAATTAAGTAAGGAACTGATACCACTCATATCTGTGTATGGTATAAGTGGTAAATATGAACCTGGAGCCAAACCTGTTTTACTCATTAGCTTAGGTTTGTATAAATACCTTATATTATATATTACATACTGTCAATGATACAGACTGAGGGAGGGGAAAACAGCTAACCTGGCTCTTGTAGCACTCATTTTTACACCCTGTATGAATTAAACAAACTAGATATAATGTGTTAATTAGTGAGCTTTAGATGGTCTGGTAGCTGATTTTTTAGTTTTTTTATGTTTCAGACTTCATGCTAAACTAAGCTAACAAGCACCAAGAGTAGAAACAGGTGCTGACACCGACATTACCGTCTTTCAGAGGCTTAGATTTAAAGCAAGGTATCATTTTAAACTAGAAGACCTAAGGCACCCATCAGTACCAATGGGTACTGGGTACAATCGCTATACCCACGAGTCCTCCCTTTACTAACACATCCAGTTTACACTGATCTCATGCAGTTTTGGGCAAAAACCATGAAGCAGTATTGGAATTATTACATTGAGTATGACTGGAAAGCTGAAACTCTTGTGCATTCAATGACCCCAACTGTATTAATGTGTGATGTTGTTCACACATAAAGTCACACTAACTACACTGACACCACCGATTCCCTACCATATTTTAAGTTCACTAGTACATCATAAAAACCGTCACCCCACTTTGAAACTCACACCACTGCCCCTCAACCTAACCCTTGCTAAGCTATCGTTAACCATCTCCTGACTGTAGCTTATTCTACAGAAATGAGAGTGGAAAAGATCTTCTCAGCTATCTCTCAGCAAGAAAGTGTATTTTATAAAATATCTAACTATTCCTTTAAGGTACCTTGTCTAAACATTAGCAGCACAAAGGAAGTGGCTGAAAAAGCTGCCTCTCACAGCTGACATGTGTCGTATGAAGAGCAGCATCGTGGTGTAGTTTCACACCAGCTGTTTTGAATATGAATATTAACTATTTCCTGAGATGACTTTTTCGTTCAATACATATGTAACAGTATCGTAACATGTTGCATAATGTGCCTTATATATGCAGATATTTAAGAGCTAAATTAGTATTCGTGAAACAGCCTTAAAGCTTCCATAAAGGATTCATTCCAGCTTTAAGAAAGTGTCACCAAAATCGCCACTATACCATTATTCCAAGACATTTTGTTCTTAATTTCAACATCACACAAAAAAAGGAGAGATTATAACTAATTTGAATTCAAAGCAACAATATCATGGGAGCTGAAAATTCACTGAGCTGATTAGTGATTCCTTGTAACATCTTTAATGCCAGGAGTCTATAATTTAAGAACTCTCATTGGAATAAATGATCAAAATTCAAACAGGAAAGTCAGTATTTCACAAAGAATTAGACATAAGAATTCATATTTGTGTAGATAAAGATGGTTGTGTTTCTTCTTTCTTTTCCATTCAATCATCTCATGAACGCATCAGTTTTATTTTATAATCTCTTGGTCACCGGTCAATGCTTTAATCAATCACCAGTGCTTTCAAAGGATAAACATATTAAGCTTCACACAATGTTTTTGTTTTTTAGACTTTTCTATCCTATTTCTTTGACAAATACTTAAAATTGTATCTCTTAGGAGCCTCTTAAAAATATCTGAATCAAACAGGCATATTATTAATAGCTCTGTCCTACCGTAGCAACAGGTCACACGTAGACGTTGCTGTGTTTTAAGAGTCAAAAAGGTTGTCATATAGCCTGCTGGTTGTTTAATAAAGTGTCCTGATGGTGAAATCATTACTGAATGAAATCAGTACAAACAAACAGCTCT